AGGACCTCAGTCATTACATACACTTTCCAAAGCAATTACATCGCAATGAACGTCACCGCGATAGTATAGTGGCAAGTATCTCCGCCTGTCACGTGGAAGACCCGGGTTCAATTCCCGGTCGCGGGGTGACCACTTGGGGTGCGCGATAGATTTACCTCCACGTGGTGCACCCTGGGCAACGTATTCCCATACGGCAAAAAAGTCTATTAACCGGCAGTTGACTTCAGACTTCAAGCTTCCAAGACCCCACTACATTTCATATTCGACTAATTCCACAGTACCCACCTTTTTTCTACCTTTGTGTCTGTCTGTCTGTCTCTTTTACGTCTGTGAATCATTATTCTGTTCCCCCTCTAGACTTTATGCCACTTTGGTGTTCCTCTTCCTTTCTCTGATGCACGTAGTCAACTAAAGGGCTAGTAATACCTATTATAACGCCTGCCATTTGAAATAAATAAACATCGCAATGACTTTGATTATTGTTTTTGGTCGAAAGTTCTCTGCGTTGGTGATCTCATATGGTCGCTGGCGTGATTGCCATCGCATCAGCCTGCACAACTTTGCTTAGTCCATGCTAGCATTGTGGTTCCTGCAATCATACTCGCACAATCCATTGTACACATTGTAGATCTATAATAGAGATCAATACTAAATTTTCAATTCTTTATTAAGGCAAAATCAGAAACCATTCTACTTATGAGTCCCGGGGAGCGCGATAGACTTACCTTCACGTGGTGCATCCTGGACAACGTATCTTCGTACGGCAAAAATGTCTATCATTCGGCATTTTATTTGACTTCGATTTATTACGATTAGCTTGAAAAAAGGCTATAAGAGAAATCGCCCCCGTCAGGTCGAATTACACCATCTTCAGATCCTGCAGTGGAATGCGGGAGGGATGTCACAGAACAAAAAGATCCAAGTATTGAAAATCCTACATACCTTTGATGTAGACATATTCACAATTATGGACGCAAACATTTCAGATGACAAACTGAAGTACTACCTGTTCACAGGTTACACCCTACACCTTCTACCTAAATACCGGCAAGTTGCAAGTGGAATTCTAACTGGAGTAAAAGAAGGCCTCACCTCACACTACGACCTAATCAAGAGTATGGTCTCGACACAAGACATATGTGAAATAATGAGATTAAATGTTTGGAAATGTCAAAACCACTTCAAGGTATATGCCGTCTATAATCCACCCCAGAATTGTCCCAACTTTGACTTTCTGAACATCTCACACAAAACTGTAGTATTAGGAGACTTCAACGTCCATTCCACCANGCAACGTTAAAATCTCCACTTTAATATGTGGTTTAAACAAGCACTTATTTCCACAGCAAAAATTAAAGCAAGTATTTTTTTCAAATGATATTTAATTAAGTTAGCGAAGATGAGAATATCCAATTAGTCAAAATGTGTCCATCAATCACTGCATCAGCCATCCTCATCTACATTTAGTAAACTTCATTGCATTTCTTTNCGGGGAGCGCGATAGACTTACCTTCACGTGGTGCATCCTGGACAACGTATCTTCGTACGGCAAAAATGTCTATCATTCGGCATTTTATTTGACTTCGATTTATTACGATTAGCTTGAAAAAAGGCTATAAGAGAAATCGCCCCCGTCAGGTCGAATTACACCATCTTCAGATCCTGCAGTGGAATGCGGGAGGGATGTCACAGAACAAAAAGATCCAAGTATTGAAAATCCTACATACCTTTGATGTAGACATATTCACAATTATGGACGCAAACATTTCAGATGACAAACTGAAGTACTACCTGTTCACAGGTTACACCCTACACCTTCTACCTAAATACCGGCAAGTTGCAAGTGGAATTCTAACTGGAGTAAAAGAAGGCCTCACCTCACACTACGACCTAATCAAGAGTATGGTCTCGACACAAGACATATGTGAAATAATGAGATTAAATGTTTGGAAATGTCAAAACCACTTCAAGGTATATGCCGTCTATAATCCACCCCAGAATTGTCCCAACTTTGACTTTCTGAACATCTCACACAAAACTGTAGTATTAGGAGACTTCAACGTCCATTCCACCAGATGGGGCTACAAGGTTACAAGCATAGGTGGAAAGGAAATCGTAGACATGCTGAACAGCAACTCTCTGGAACTTATTTACAGCAATGAGGATCCGGCTACATATTTGTACTACAATGAAACCAGAACAACTCCTGACTTACTCTTGGCTTCAAGCGACATCAGCGAGCATACACGTCGCAAAATAATTGACGATCCTGGTTCTGGTCACAAACCAGTCATTGCTAGTATTACCTTCGGCAGCAAAAGCAAGTCAAGGAAAGTGCCAACTAAGCTATCATGGAACGTCAAGAAGGCTGACTGGCTTAGATTCACAAACCTTTTAGAGGATGAACTTCATTCAAGTCCCCTCAACTTCAACCAACATCTTGACAAAATTTGCACTGCTATCACAAATATTATGATCAGATGTGGAAAGAAAACTATTCCCTGAGGCAGGACTAAACACTATCGAGTGTTTTGGTCTAAACACCTTCAGGAACTAAAAAGAAAGTGGAACGCCCTTCGCCCTTCCTAATCAGACTGGAAGAATGGAAGACGTACAAGCCTGGAGACGAAAATCTGCAGTCCTAAGGCAAGCCATTTTACAAACAAAGCGGACTTCCTTCGATAAGTTCATCTCTAATATCAACTATCAAAATTATAGTCAACGTACTTTCAAATTCCTGAGTAACCTCCAAAACAAGAATAGGAAATGATCCAAGAAAGAACCAATACGTTTTAAAAACAGACTGCTCACCACCGATACCAATAAGTTTTAAAAACAAACAGCTTACCACCGACTCCAAATATGCTTAAACAGCAAATTGCTTACCACCGACTCCAAAGCGCTTAAACAGCAAATTGCTTACCACCGACAACGAAACAGTTGCTTTGCGAGGTTCTATTCCCACAAACAAAAGAAAAACCATTTTGTCGGAAAATCTTCAAGATATTTAAAGATACAAGTAAGACCGTTTGACGAAATTAAGGAAGACACCACAATAACAAATAATGTACTCACTGAACCATTCCGACCTTGCGAACTTAATGCTGCGATAAAACAGCTCAAGTGCAAACAGTCTCCTGGCGAAGACGATATTCATTCGGAATTTCTAATTAGAATGGGGCCAACAGCCAATGAAACCATGCTGACGCTTTTCAACAAAATCTGGGAGACAAGTCTTGTACCTAACCAATGGAAAGTTGCTAATACCAGTACTAAAAAGGGCAAAGACCCTAGCAACTTTGATCAGTACTAAAAAAGGGCAAAGAACCTAGCAACTTTGACAAAAAAGGGCAAAGACCCTAGCAACTTTGACAACTAAAGGCCTCTCTTCCTCACATGCGTGCTGGCTAAACTAATTGAAAGAATGGATAACAGGAGGCTGACCCGGTTTCTTGAGACCAACAATATTCTTAGGAGTGAACAAGCAGATTCCTTGAGACCAACAATATTATTATCAATGAACAAGCAGTTTTTAGGTCAACGAACCAACAAGTAGCCACTTTCTCCCAACACATCAAAGCTGATGCAAGAAATACTCTTACGGCTGTTTTCGTCGATTTCCAATACTCTTACGGCTGTTTTCGTCGATTTCAAATCAGCATTTGACTTAGCATGGAAAGAGAAGCTAATTCTAAATTGACAAGGATTGGTATTAAGCAAAACATGCTAAACTGGATAAAAGCATTCATTGGACAAAGGCATAACATGTTAAACTGGATAAAAGCATTCATTGGACAATGATCAAATGCTCTATCAAAATCCAATCTTTTACAAACAGGTCTTGAATGCTCTATCAAAATCCAATCTTTTACAAACAGGTCTTCTACAGGGAGCTGCCACAATCGGCACTTTTTTCAATGTCGTTATCAATGACATAGCTGAATTGGTACAGGCAGTCACGGGCATCAAGTGCTTAATTTATGCAGATGACCTTGTTCTATGGTATTCCGCTTCCAAGAACAACGCTCCGGAGAAGAAAGAAAGTGCCCTAAATTGTGCCCTTAAATTACTAGCTAACTGGTGCGGCAACAATGGAATAGTAATCAACATCACGAAAACTGAATTTCAAGCTTTTTATTTGGCCCGTCACAGTGTAGACATGCTTCTTAGATACAAGAATGCTACCCTAGAAAAAACCAATGAGTTCACATATCTCGGAATGAGGTTTGACACTAAGCTAACGTGGAAAAGTCACTTTGCTAAAATACCAGAACGAGTCTCCAATACACTGCACGTTTTGAAGCGACTTGCTGGTAGCGTATATGGCTGTGGACGCTCAACTCTCATCTCAACTTAGATATTCAGCCAATAATGTTGTATTGCTGTGAGCCACTCATTTCAACCACAGAGGTGACTCTCAAAGCACTTGAGAAGGCACATAACCAAGCATTACAAATAATTACTGGGGGGATAAAATCAACACCCATTGGTGCAATGCTCCTAGTTACAGGAAGCACCACAATAGGTTCCCTTTTCAAGGTGAAGGCCTTGATCCTGTATGAGAAGCTACTGCGCATTCCCATGGATAAGTTCTTCAGCTCCAATGAAAATAGACCAAGACATCTGAAAACGCAATTTGGACTAATACAGAAAGCCATAGAACTGAAGAAAGCATTACAAATCGATGACAAACCAAAAAGCCTATCTCTTCCCTGAACGCATTAGCAGACACTGTTGTAGTGCAAAGTACCCAACTGCTTGACTTCTTCAGGAAATCAAACACCCTTCCATAACAAATGTGCTCACTATCCCTTAAAACAATCAATGTCAACTATCCTGCAGATCAATGGCTCCAAGTCTTCACTGATGGGTCATACATAGAAAACCAAGCAAACATTGGCGCAGGTGTCTATTCTGAACTCTTCTCTTTCTACGCACCAGCATGACACAATAGATCCGCTTTTTAAGGAGAAATAGAGACCATTAGGATAGCACTATGCCAATTATGTTGCCTGGATACGAAATTCACCAAAGCCATGATATTTTCGGTCTCACAATCAGCTATAAACTCAATTGGAAACAGAGAGCCGCCTAAAACGGCTGGGATAAAGGAATGTAGAAAACTATTTGAGCTGGTGAGAGAGAAAATCAAAACAGTGGAAAACTATTTGAGCTGGTGAGAGAGAAAATCAAAACAGTGGACCTACAATGGATTCCTGGTCACTGTGGCATTAAAGGCAATGCGCTTGCTGACACACATGCTAAGAAGGGGACAACGATTTTGCAATGCATGGACCGACCGATGTCTTCCTACACAATGGAGGCCTTAATCAGGAGAGAATTACAGACCTCAAGGTTTAACGAACTGAAAGCTCGAACAAAGGAGAAAAAGTGGTCAGTGGCACTCTCCGACATACCGACTGGCCAGAATCGAGGCCGTTGCTGAGTTTAGACTACGTATCGGACACGATTGCTTGTCAAAACATCTTCACAGATTGGAATTATACACATAAACGCACATGCCCCCTATGTAACCTACAGGAGGAAATGATGAAGACCCACATGATTCGATGTCTAGCCCTAAAGACAACGACGGAAAGCCAGAGATACTGGGAAGCAGGAAGACAGCTAATGAAGGGCTATAAATTAACTGCTATAAATGTACCCTCACCCTTGGGGGAAGCTGAACTCAAAGGCTAATGATAAATATTACAAAGCCTGACATTTGAAATAATAATAACTTATGGTGTCCTGTTTACACGCATCAGCGTCAATTAATCTGCAATCTTTGAATGGTACTAGCTGGTACAGTGATGGGAAATAAATACGTGTCTATTTTTGTGATAACCTGTAGTTGTGAATATCCATTTGAGAGCAATTCTCTTCATTGAAGCAAAATTTACATTTTTTTAAAAAATTCTATTGATTTAGTCACATTAAATTCCCATGAGATCAAATTGTTTAAAATTCTTCAGACAACAAACTGATGTAATTTTAACCATTTTGACTATGAAACGATTATTTGAAATGCCACTTGTCAATTACGAATTGAGCTAATCTTATTCATATTAAACAATGCACCATGTCTCACTATTTCATACACCTGGGAGGTTGATAGAGGTGACTTTGATTGCAAGGTGCGATTTGCCCTCTTTTCACTCTAAAATGATATCCATACCTGCACTCACTCAACATGTAGTGACTACAGAAGTAAATTTCTAAATGCATTGGTGTGGTTTTCTTGGGTGAAACCAAAATATCCGTGCATATTTTTTGCGTTTACTCTTTTAAGCAAGCACGCTAACGTGGGAAAAATAGGGAAGAAGTTTCACGAAAATACCATCGAAGTAAGAACCTGGAATTCACTTTTCATTGACTAATAATACATTGAAATACATCTCACTTGAGCATCAATATTACTTTCTCGTTTAAGTATTATTTGAATTGAAATTTGACGTTTTAAAAGAATTCTTACCTTACTAAATGAAATTTAAATTACCTTAAATAAAGAGCTGATTTTTGAAAGGGCCTTCCATAATCACTTAATCGAAAGGACACTAATTTTGTAATATGCACACAAATAGAACATTGAGGATCAAGGCGACAATTTTATCCGTACTCATTTGGCGCCGTTTGACAACATACGTGCGAGGGTTAATTTTCCGGTTTTGCAGCCATACCTTGATCTGGCTGCTAAATATGCCAAAATAATATGCAAATCATTGCGTTTGAGGTTATTTGGATTTTTACAATTTTTTAATAATGTTAAGAGTTCAAGTGGTTTTTAGAAGAATGTCTTATACTATTTATTTCTCATTGCTGACTGCTATGCTTTAAATATTTGATTTATTCTCAGTTCTATTTATTGAAAGCTTTTCTTGTTAGAATGTCTCCCGGAATTAGCCACCCTTCTTCAACAGAACATAGAGGAAGCGTAAGTATGACGAGGAACACATTTACTCGGGTGATGTTGTGCTAGAGGTGTATATCTGTCATGTCCTGAGTTGTGCGTTTGGTTGAGTATTTGGAGTGCGAATGATTTTCGAACCCTTACTTGTTATGTACACTTTTCAGTGCAATAACAACGTAATGACTTTGATTATTGATTGGTCGAAAGGTCTCTACATTGAGGATCTCATTTAATCGCTGGTGTGATTGCCATCACTTCCGCCTGCGTGTCTTTCCTTCAGTCATGCTAACATTGTGATCCCCGCAATCATACACAACTCAAGACATGACGGATCTACACCCCTAGCACAACATCACTCGAATAAAGGTATTCCTCTTCATACGTCCCCACAACCATACTCACACAATCCCTTGTACACATTGCAAATCTATAGTTGTATCAATTAAAATTATGCGATTCCATATAAAGGTAAAATCAGAAGCAATTCTAGGCGTGGTTCACTGTTTAAACGCTTGCATGGCAATCACTATTTTCAATGATGTGCTCATATTGATTTCATATGAGGAAAGAAAGGTGAATTTGGTTTGGCTTGAGTTAAAGAAGCAGTAGAGCAACAACTTAAATTTTCATTTGATCACCAAAATAAAGTTTGATAATTCTTCATATTAGGTTGGCATGGATTTGACGTCATGTTGTAAAATATTTGTGCCTTTATTAAAATTTACATAAAAATACCGAATAAATATAGTGACTGCTCGTGAATGTGCTGCAATTATTCTATTTCTTGATGCTGAGACAATCGGATTCAATTTTTAGTCAAAATTCATAGATTTCTCTCATTCTGTTCTATACGTCACAACAATATGCCAAGACATTTGATGAGAATTGATATGAAAGTAGGGAACTTAATTTTACTATTTTTTACCAACTTCCATAAGGTTAGTAAATTGCTACATGTTTAATACGTTTCCAACAATTTAGATGATAAATTTTCTAAATTTATAAATGATAAAAGAACAATTCACCAACCTTTCCATCTATAACATGCCTAAATGACTGCTTTTGAGACAAGTTATTTAACTCATTTAAGAACAAGTTTCATCATTATCTTCGAATTTAGCCCAATGCATTCTTTAAATATGAACTATTATTTTATCATCTTTAATCATAGGAAACATCTAGTGGAAATTCTTGAAAAAATTCTTGTCGCTAATCCAAAGCGAAATTTGCCTTATTTGCGAGAGAGGGGAAATGCCTATTTTATTGCGATGAAACTCAGCTCAAATAAATAACTTTGCTTTTGAAATTATTAGGATGTATAAGCCCGTTTTATAGTTGGCACAAAGGAATTTTGATTAGTCTCTTTAATAGAAGCCCCTAATCATTATTTAAAAGTCCTTCAGGACATAACCCAATTTTTCATTACCGTATGTCTACTTTATCAAGTTTATGAAGAAAATTAACAATTGAACCATAATTTACCTATCTTCAAGTGTCGAGCTTGGTTAATGGTGAGGAGGAAAGAAGATTTATATCCTAACCTGAGGTTATTGAGGGAAAACAATAATTGATTACTTTTCCTTATGCTGTCGTGCAAACTTATCGTAAGATAGTGAGAATCTAATGAAAAATGTATGGCTGTATGAGGCAGAAGAGTAATGTGCGAATCCACGAGACTGTTTACAGAGCAAAGAAATGACAAAACAATTAAAGCTTTTCTGATGAAAAGGTCTCGATGTTGATCATTTATTTTTTACAAAAAAACTATTTACTATTGATACTCGCGGCGTTACACTAGAGGAGACTGAAATGTTAAACTAATGTTTCGGAACTTTACCTACAAGAAAGAAATGATTTCAACTCTCGATTGAGCTTATTCATAGTTGCATGTATCAATTGAAATCGTCATATGTCTACTTTAAATGTATTTGCTTAAGGCACTTTGGAAATGTCATAATTTCAGACCACTCTTCTCGCCTTCGATCATGTATGTGAGTTAATACACTTCGTTGGTCACGGCGATACCAATCCCCAAAATATGATGTTCCGATGGGGAAGTAGATCTCTTTGATCAATCATATGTACGTTTAAGGGGGAGAAAAGCATTCGACATGACCTCTGTCAACGTTTCAAGTGAATGATACATTAATCTTTCAATGGAATAAGTTGGCACAGAGATGGGCAAAAATATGTACCTAATTGCATAATAACCATCGGTTGTGAAATTGCATTTGAGGGCAATTCACTTCACTTAAGCTAAAAGTATATTTGAAAGAAATATATATTAATTTATTCACCTCAAATTAATATCAAGACAAAGTGTTCAGTAATCTTCTAAGACAATAGGCTGATGTTAAATTAACAATTTTGAAAAGGATTTAATTATTTTGTTTATTTATTTTATTTATTTTTTTCCCTTAATTGGCCATGCCAATTTGATTCATTCA